ATAAGCACTGCGAATCACGGTGAATCTGTAGTAGACCTGTTGACAACCTTCAATTTCAGGCAAACAATGGCTTCAATTTCAAATATGAACTTGGAAGTTTCCAAACCTTGAATTTGAAAATTCAAAAATTTGGGAATTCAAATTTTCAAATTTGAATTCAAACTCGGCACCTACTCGCAGTGCTTATGAAGACTGACTCCCAGTGGAAGAACTAGAAGAATCCCACTTGTGTTAATGAGACAACTCCATTGCGATACAGCGATGATCTCAATGAATTAGTGATAAAGCACCCAAAACACTGCGTCGTACTTCACGCGGGTATGGTTTGTGCTTACAGCGTGTGGGAATGCGGAAAATATCATGGCACGCGGCTCACTGATAAATTGCGCGCCGTTCGCACTCTCAACTAGGGCGCACCGTTCGCGATACAGTGCTGTAATGGCGCGCCCGCCGCCGCGCCGAGTGTCGAGTAGGCGCGGCGGCGGCCGTGATAAGGCGCGCCGCTCGCTGGCTGCGAATGATGGCGCGCCGCTTGCACTGAAGCCTGAACTATGGCGCGCCGCTCGCACTACTGCTTCAACCAAAGCGCGCCGCTCGCACGGCAGCCTCAAATAGGGCGCGCCGCTCGCACTGTAGCGCTATTATGACGCGCCCGCCGCCGCAACGAGTGTCTGAGTTCTTCGATCCCTTCGCTCTTTTCGACAGCGCGCATATGCAGCGCAAAGCCCTACCGCTGCGAGCGCAAATTTAGACAGCGATTCGGCAAGATCCCGATTGGAACCGATCTAGAGCTGTGTATAGCTGTGGTTCATAGGTCAAGCGTACTTGCGAATTTTGTAAGTGCTCAAATGGCATTCTCTAAGGCGAGAAATCACTCACCGTATGCACGCACATCCCCGCTGGGGAGAGGAGGGGATTCGAGAAGGGATGCGTAATATCTTGTGGCTTTAAGTAACTTTTCTCCCTTTCTCTATTTACCTTCGAAGGTTTTGATACCCTGATATCTGAATATAATGAACGCCGGGACATTGCCATGCAAGCTCGAATTCACTGTTATGTGATCCCCGGGATCTCAAAAAATCAGTACTCATTTTCAAAGCCATTTATCTTCATTCAAATTCAATGAAGATGCTGTAAAATTGTACTGAGTGTATAATCCGGCACCACTTGGCAGGTTTATAGTAGAAATATAGAAATAAGTGAAATTCCAGGATATCGTAACCTTTAATAATCTACTGTTCGCAAGCTAGGATTTATCGAAAAATTCACAACCTTCAAATTTTATTTGTTTTGTCCAAACACGTCTTACACTGCCCATGATAGGTCCTCAACAACCTGACAATGTTTCGATCGAGTTCATGGAATGATGGACGACTTTGAAAACAAAAAGCTGATGCGAGATCCCGCAAAGAATCACGCGAAGCAGTGATAATTTCAGCTTATATGGCGATATCCTAGCATCCATTGTGCTCAAGTATCACGGTATGAGAGCTTCCATGAGATAGATAGAGAAGAAAGAATAAAGAAATCAAGAGCAAGGAGATAAAATCAGGGTCAAAGAGGTGTGGCAGGGGGCACGCGGAAGGCGACAATCTACGAAAAATGGAGGCTTTGTATCATCCGTCTCAACGACTTTCACGGATTTCTACTTGAGCAGGTGTGCCTTGCCACACCTGCTCAAATAATCGCCGGAGGCAGACGGTCCGCAATTGGCGCTTTTCTACAGGCGGTCAGCAGAATTTTGGGGAATGGCCAAACCTTCAGCGAGCGGCACATCCTTTACGGTCGCATATTCTGCCAGCGGGCAGCAATACAGCATTTTCTGCAAGCGAGATAACCCAAAATTTGAAAAAGTGCGCAAATGTGAGAAAATCTCCTTTATTTGATTTTTTATTTATCGAATAACAATAAAAGTGCGAACTGCCATTGAATTAGAGAATTCTAAAACGGCAGTTCACAATTTCAATTGTTATTGGATAAATAAAGAAAAACAGTCGTATCTGAATCACTCCTCATCTCTATATTCAGCAAAGCGTGGGAAAGAAGGTTGGAAAAGCAAAGATCTGAGCTTTTAGAAAAGCTGTGTTGATTTATAGATTTGCATGACAAAACGAACCTAATTTTAAAGGCAGCGTCTAGGCAAGTCTGGACAAATGGGGATCTCACGTGGATAGTTATTTTGAGGCCGTAACTAAGCTACTGCCCAACCGGCAGCTTAGGTAGTGCTCTAACGGCTGAGATATTCTTCTCGAAACTGGACCCCGCGATCGTATATCGCATGGATTCATGGCGTCAAGCGTGGATCCTGGCGCGAAACTGCCATGAATCCATGCGAATGCGATCGCGGGGTCCAGTTTCGAGAGGAATATCTCAGCCGTTAGAGCACTACCTGCGCTGCCGCTTGAGCAGTGCCTTAGTTAGGGCTCCAAAAGTATTAGGTTGGTGCAAAAATAATGGCAGATTTTCCAAGCATTTTTTCAGGGCAACTTTTTTCCATAAATACTTCTTCTTTAAAATAGATGTGGTGTACCATCGAGAAGCTGTTCACGCTCTATCTAATGGTGTTTAAAACGGGCTTCCATCATCAGTTATAAAGTTACTGAACTTCAAATAACCGCATCCAAATTCAGAGTTTCATTGCATACACTTTTCTGGCTAGAATTCAAGCGCATATCAACGGCAGTGCTTCGAAAATTTAGCTATTGTATGCAATAGAAATTGTCTGCATTACGCATACTTAACTGTATTCTTTGAGGTTATCCAGACTGAGATACCGGCGCCTAAACATGGGTAGCTGTTGCGGTCATTTTATGACCCATAATTTTCTTCTGAAGATGTCAATCGCCGAAACGTTGCTCTCTGTAAGCATAAGGCTAGGGCATCCCATTAGCGGATTTGCAAAAACATCCAGCTGTTCAGTACGTAAAAAATTAGAAAATTCTATATTCGGGACTCTGAAGCACTGAAAAAATATTGAAAAAAGTGAGAAATTTTGAATTTTAATTTTTTCTTTCTCGCAAACTTTTTTGTCCGAATATTTTCTATTGTAATTTGTACTACTGGCTTGCGGCTACAAGATAGGCTACTCTTCATTCATACTAACAAACTTTAAAGGAAGTTATGAATTTTCAAAAAAAAGGTTCTAGCAAAGGAACCTTTTTGTCTTTTACCGTATTACTCTTCCCGTTAAGGGTGTGAGTACAATCGAGTATGCGCTGTATAGCGAAAGGTTTGCTGCTTCCGAAGGTCTTTACCGCATTTAGAAATGTGGATCTTTTAGAAAGTTATAGCACGTCAAAGTGAGAACTCGCAAATCGGCCATTACGTTTGCACCAACCTAATACTTTCCACGTGAAATCCCCGTAGGTCCAGATCTGCCTGGACGCTGCGTTTAAGAATTTCGCTTTTTCAAGTGTTTGTCTGAAAAGAAAATGTTGGTTCTGAAATGTACCACAGTGCCGCTGATGATTCATCAAACGGTGACCGAACTCCAGCGATGTTTACTGAATTCCGTGTCACATGGCCAAATCTTGGTTCAGAGTGGACGAATTCTGAAACCAAGGGCACCGCTCGGCTCAACTCGACCAGGCGCATTTTCTGACATATGGAAGTGCCGGTTTGGATAGTGGCTGCACAGGCGGTATTTCGCGTAGGTTTTTGCATACTTTAGGACCGAATGTGCTGATTTCACTGCACAATGAGAAACGTATCGCAGTAGAATCTATGAAGACTTGTAAATTCTGACCGCATACTGTATCCAAATGGGCACTTGTATATATAGGAAGATGCGATTAATTTAACTGAATCGAAAGATGTCATTGATTTCAGAGTTAGTCTACTTTGAACGAAGATATGGCGATGCGACGCAAATTTCGGTGAGCACCAATGGAGTTTTGGTTTTGACGAATTATGAGCGGTGTTGTATATGTAATCGACAATGGCCGAACGACTCCCAAGTGAACAGTGTCATGATAAACCATTCCATCACTTATCAGGCTTTTCTATCTTAAGGATGAACGAAGTAATTATTCTTACTTTCTCTTCTTATCGCACAATCTCAGGTAACATTCGGAAGGACGAGTTCAGAGGTAGTAGAAGAAGAGCAGTGCCTGTTGGCCACACTTCCCTAAATCGAACTACAGCAAAGAGAATAGGAATATGAAAAATTTTAGTTCAAAATCAAAAAGAATTGCATCGGAAACTTCTTCATGTTGTCCTTCGAGTTTCGATGCCATTTTCATTAAAACATATTGCAAAATGATCAAGCATTTCACATTTTCGAGTGTTAGTCAGCTAAAAGCATCGACAACATTTGGTATCTTGGTGGGCAGAAAGTATCTGTTATCAACGCTTGACATCATTTTTTGATGAAGAGACGATGGATTCTTCGACATTTAGATATTCAACATTGGCAAAGATAACAGTTTTGAAAGAGGTTCTCGACTTAGTAAACTGTATAAAAGTCCGGACTTTACGTGATGTAATGCTCAAGTACATCAGTTTCTCTAATAGCGCACGCGCTTTTTTTCACCTCTGCTCCACACTGCCAAGGTTTTTTTCAAAAGGTAAAGCTTGTGAGGGGTTTCTATTTTTCCAAAGAAATGCCCGATTACCAAATGAGTTCACATTTCCTTTGACCAGCTAAAAGAAAGATCGACAAACGCAAATCTGAATAATAATATAAGCTTGGAAAACCTTTTCTAGAAATTTTTTTTCTGCGCCCAGCCTGTAAATCCTACGATATCTATCTAACTGTTATATTTCTGCAGTCTAGTGAGTTCATTGACAAATAGAAACGCTTACCTACGCATTTCTTAAGAAAGAACCGTAGAATTATAAATATGCACGATTCATTCCAAAGCGGTTTTTCTCACCCTAGAAAACATCCTTTGCCTTTTTTATCGGCTACGACATCCGCTCCAAGTCAAGCTCACTTATACCCAGACCTTTCTCTGACTCTCTTAAACTACTCTGCTTTATCAAAATTTGGACATTTTTCAGAGCAGTCAATAAATCCGAAAAGATGCGTTATTTCTTGTGCATGCTGCTGCTGTTAGTGGTTTTGGAGGTGGTTGTGGAGGCAAGAAGATGGAAAGGAAAGCCGGATGTGTGCAGATACATGTTTGTGAACCCCAGAATTGCGTTCAAGCAATGCAGTGCAGCATGCTGGAGGCATAAGGTAAGCCCTTGCACATGCGTGTATTCTGGTGCGATAAATCTAACAAATTTAGAATTGCTGGGGATACTGCGACCTAAAACACGGGCGCAAGCAATGCATATGTGGGGATTGTGAACGGGTAAGAATGTAGTCTTTGAAAGGTTTAACATCGAAACCTTACATGTATTTACCAATAGGGCCCTATTGCAATTCCGGCAACATATGATAAGAGGTGAACTACAACACCACCCGTAATTGGTGAAACCCATGGGTGGTATCGTACATGTCGTGGTTTTAGAGCTCCTTGTGACCTTGAAAGTGAATTTCATTGACTATCCAAACTTCGAGTTCATCACACTCTACACTCAGTTTTCTCAGGCATGCTCTCCGCCACCAACCAGACAACCGGCAACTAGCCCAACGGCACCGACTGAACAGCCGGCAACTAGCCCTTCGGCACCAACACAGCCGAAAACTATATATGTTGAAGCGGATTTACCCCATGATCCGTCTCAAATCACAGCATACCTCGACCATGTAAAAGATCAGGCAAATATTCTTTGAAATTTCGTTCGAGTGTCGCCAAAAAAATGCTCTCTTTCTTTAGCTTCAGCAAATGATGAAGAAACTGGAGATTGCTTACGAAGCAACCGATGTCTTCCTTGACATTTTAGATGGTAGACCAACAATTGTTGCGATGATGCCAGAAGTCGAATGCAAAAAGGTAGGCTGTTAGAAGCTCCTTTGTAAAACATTCTTTGACAAGATATATGTTTAGGTCCCAGCAATGATAGAGGAATTGAAAAAAAATTTTCACAAGACATCATACTTGACTATGCCGTGTCGATCATGATAGTGTTGAGCACTGCTCTATCATAATCGACCATATTTATATATTAGGTCATTCCGAAAGTAATTTCGCTTTTTTCAAACGGGCGCTACATTTGATAGAACAAAGGTTTTTGAGAGGTCTTGGATGCATTCGATGCATAATTTCATTCTCTTTCTAACGGTTATAAAAGTGTTGCAAAACAGTCAATGAGCTTTCAGAAGTAACCAAAATTTGCGACCCATGCTTTTTGAGATGGTCAAGTTTCACGATTTTTTAAAACTTTCATATCATTCCTCAGAAGGAGTTCAAGTAACGATTTGATAGAGTGAACCTTATAGAATACAGTATTGTTTTTTCTCCTTTCCATATCTTGTCATACATTTTTAACAGAATTTTAACTGATGCTACCGATTTCCATACTTGGGCAGCTAAATCCTCGTAGAACATCAAAAGAAGAGCAACTCGTGCACTATTCAATGCAGCAATTTCTCCTCTTTCTAACGGGTGTTTTTTGTTTCCGATTCGTTTAGTTTCCGGGGATAAAATCATCATAACTCATTTTTTTAGCGAGCCCCAGGGTACCCGAAAAACTCGAAATTTGATATTTCGAACCCGTAAATCCTCATTTGCTTTGTAAAATCAATGCTAACTCACCGAATAATTACGATGTTTGATGCGATTGTGGCCGATGTGAGCCTGCCAAAATCCGATGGTTTTGTTAAAAAATCTTTTAAAAAATTACAGCGAGCAAAGAGAAGGAGAAAAAAGAAGTGCTTTATTCTATAAGGTTTACTCTATCAAATCGTTACTTGAACTCCTTCTGAGGATTGATATGAAAGTTTTAAAAAAACGTGAAACTTGACCATCTCAAAAAGCATGGGTCGCAAGTTTTGGTTATTTTCTGAAAGCTCATTGAATGTTTTGCAACACTTTCATAACCATTAGAAAGAGAATGAAATTATGCATCGAATGCATCCAAGATCTTTCAGAAACCTTTGTTTTGTCAAATGTGGCGCCCGTTTGAAAAAAGCGAAATTACTTTCGGAATGACCTAATAGAATATCTGCGCCCAATCTGCGGTAACAGCTACATAAGCCTTGGTCGTTAATACACCGCCCCCTTTATTGGTGACTAGCTGGCTTACCCGACTCCGCCGTATCCGGACCAAACTTGGCACACATACACTTCGGGCCCCGGCGGGTGTCACAGTCCACTTTTCGTTATTGATCGATGTCGATTTTACCGATTTTTATCGATTTTTTTGCAGAGTTCACCTACAGGGCTAGGAGTTGGCACAGGGGGGGGGGGGAAGTGAGCATGGGGATTCCGAACACAATATTAGTTTTCAGAATTATCTATTACTTTTATTGATTTTATCGATTTTTGTAAATTTTGACGTGCGAGGCTGGGATTTTGCACAGGGGGGTAATCGAGCATGCTGATTACGAACACAATATTAGTTTTCAGGATCGTCCATTACTTATCGATTTTATCGATTTTTTTGTAAAGTTTGACCTGCGGGGCTGGGAGTTTGCACAGAGGGGATAATCGAGCATGCAGATTACGAATACAGTATTAGTTTTCAAGATCGTCCATTACTTTTATCGATTTTATCGATTTTTTGAAAATTTGAGCTAGGGGGCTCGAATTTGGCACAGCTGTGTAATCGAGCATGCTGATCACCCCCCTTGGGGATGATCAGCATGCTCGATTACCCCCATGTGCCACTCCCAGCCCCCTAGCTCAAACTTTGCAAAAAAATCGATAAAATCGATAAAAGTAATCGATAATCCCGAAAACCAATATTGTATTCGGAATCCCCATGCTCGAATACCCCCCTATGCGAACTCCCAGCCCCGTAGCTCAAACTTTGCAAAAAAATCGATAAAATCGATAAAAGTAATCGATAATCCTGAAAACCAATATTGTATTCGGAATCCCCATGCTCGATTACCCCCCTGTGCCAACTCCCAGCCCCGTAGCTCAAACTTTGCAAAAAAAATCGATAAAATCGATAAAAGTAATCGATAATTTCGAAAACCAATATTGTATTCGGAATCCCCATGCTCGATTACCCCCCTGTGCCAACTCCCAGCCCCGTAGGTGAACTCAGCAAAAAAATCGATAAAAATTGATAAAATCGATATCGATCGATGACGAAAAGTAGCCTATGACACCCGCCGGGGCCCGTAGTGTATGTGTGCCAAGTTTGGTCCGGATCGGTTCAGAAATGGAATTTTCTATTCGGAACATACGTACAGACAGACAGACATACAGACAGACAGACATACAGACATACAGACAAACAGACATTCAGCTTTATATATAAGATTGTTCATACATGTATTGTTGATAGTGTTATTATGTAATAATATCATGTATTATTACATGTATTATTGCAATGATTTGCTGTTAGATGGCTTGTGAATCGGAGAGCTACTTATGACTCTTCTCCGTTTTTTGATAAAACAGATTATCTTGCGTTTTCAACTCATTAGCTTTATTGATATGCAAGAAAATTTACAAAAATGTTGAGTGCTGATTGAAAGTGTCTCATTACACGGTAAACAAACTGCGCGTACTGATGTTCAAGTTTTGGCCATAGCTTTGGCTCTTTATTCAGTTTTTTTCTTAGATGTTCAGGTTGTGAAATGAAAAGTGCAAGCACATATTCTCGTTGAGAACGTCGGCATTTAGTTAGCGGGCTAAGACTTTCTCCGACCCTATTTCCTAATGCATAGTAAACACGTATTCAGTATACTTGGGGAAATTCAAAATTTTCTTCGAATATTCGAATATCGAATAATATTCGGAAATCCAAATTTTCGATTATTCGACTTATCGAATATTATTCGAAAATTAAAAATTTCGAATATTCGACTTCCGCATATTATTCGAATATCGGAAATTTCGAATATTCGATTATCGGATACTATTCGAAAATGAAAATTTCGAATCGAATAATATTCGAATATCGAATATCATTCGATTTTCGAATTTCATACGGTTTTCGAATATTGATTGAATAATTTATGTCATCGAGACTGCCCATAAGAGGCCAAAACATCTAAGATTGAATCGTTTCATGCAAGTGTCAAGAAGAGGCACTTTTTATGTTACAATTTAGACGGAAAAACGGTTCAGTCGTGACGTGAAGAGACTTGGGAATTTGAAAGCTACTGACGGTTGTGAAGAGATTTGTTGTACTTCAGACTATATGAGTTGCGGATTGGTATACAGAGTCCCAACAGTATGTAGATCCGTAGGCTGACTCAACTTAGAGTATGGAGCGTATCAATTTATTCAGCCGATTTATCGCTTTTCACTGTTCAAAATTATCTTAAGATTGAAGAGGTTTCCGAAAGACTTCTAAAGGCACTCACTATATGTAGAATTTGCACTCAACCGTAATGCTTTTTCGAAACTTACGCCAGGTACACCGTAATAAGTGTTTTGGCAACGCCTTTCAAAAATGTGATTGCCATTTGAAAAGCTTGAAAACTCGTGCGCAGTAAAATTAGCATACGCAAATACACTGCTACACAGAATTTAGATCTTTTTTGGGGGAAATTCTTTTGGATGCCTTTGCAGCTGTTCTATATGCTGGAAGTTTCTACCGTGATAACACACAATAAGAGAAACATGGGTGATTCGCTTCCTGCTGTATTTGTAAGCTGAACCATACCTACTGCATGTCACCCAAAAATTAGCAAAAGACTTCGTGAGAGGTATAGCGATGAAACGGTGTGTAGATACTTTTAGGAAACCCCGTATACGCCATTCATATCGAATTCTCGAACATTCGGTGCTTATCGAATTTTCGAATAGTCAATTCTTATCGAATTTTCGAATATCCTGTGCTCATCGAATGTTCAAATATTCGATGAACATCGAATGATCGAATTAATGACCATCGAATGTTCGACTATCGATTAATATTCGAAAGTTGAGATTTTGACTATTCGACTTTCGAATAATATTCGAAAATGAAGATTTTCGAATATTTGATTATCGAATATTTTCGAATTCTGGGAATTTCGAATATTCAACTTTCGAATTTTATTCGAAATCTCAGATTTTCGTATTCGACTTTTCGAATCATTCGCATTCGAATGATTTATTCGAATGATCGAATAATCATTCGATTTGGTCCCAAGTATAGTATCCAGGTCATTTCATCATCCCGTCTTGTCCATGTGAACCATTTTTATCTGATTTAGATGTAGTAATTTTGACGATCATTATTGTGTCGGTGGTTCCTTGGCTTTACTGTAGCCTGAGGCGAATAGCGCCTGGTAGGGTGTGTTATATAGAACACATTAGCTATAGCTTTATTGAGTCAGACGACGTGCACGTATTAGTGCAGTGGTAGAATGCTGAGGATTGAAGGCGTGGTAAAGTAGTATCACAAACATCTGGGCAATGATACACTCATATCACAGCAGGTCATGCTTATGGCATGACCTTTACGGTGCTTAGGAGAGGTAATGATAGGTTGTGAGGAAGGTGCCGACAATGTCGGCACACTCCCGCCGGCGAGGGGAAACAAATAAGGAACAGCGAAACGAGGAGCATAAATGTAAACACTATAACTAAGAATACTAAGCGAATATTTATCAGGATACCTCAATGGACGTAGCTGGGAAGCGTGGTAATTGGGAGCGGGATGCTGGTTAATGCACTGATGCCAGCTGGCATAAGATCGCAGAGAAGCAAGTGGCATTAAGGCAGAGTATAGTGGATAATTATGATATCTTAGTGTATTTAAATTCATCAACGGCAGAAATGGAAAGTGAACGGAATAATGATAATTCTTCTTACTCTCCTTGCATCGTCGCGAGTTTCCGATCAGGTGCCTGTCGATCTCATCATTGCTTCCTCGTTTACCGCTTCCAGGCATGGTGACCTGCGAAGTCGGTATATCATCTTTTGCTGGTATGGCATCTCCGCAGGCCATGAATGTGCAATCCTTGGACTGTTGACAGAGGCTTTCTTCACTTTCCTTGTCTTCCATCGTCGAG